CTCAGACACGACAAAGGACAGAGAATGAAGGTCTTCCATAATGCAGCTCTTCTAAAGCCAAAGAAATAAATACCTGTATTCCAAAACTAGTTATAAACATTTTAATAGGAAATATATATATATATATCCTACCTTGTAGTTATCAGAGTTGGCTAGAACAGCTTCAATACTGAGGTAAAATTAGCATGGAGAACTCACTGCCTGATGAATTTCTCAGCTCAAACCTATTAGCCGGTCATGCCAACTATAAAAATGTCTCTGTGTGTCTTTTTATTCTTCCTAAATTTTGGTTATCATGAAAGAAGAAAACAAACAGCAGGTCTGCTCTAGAAAAGCTGGGAGTTTATAGCTTCCCTCACTGAATTTCCACTGTAGCTCTTGAGGTGCCTCATCATTCGCAAGCGTTGGTGGCCCCTGGCTGATCTTCTGAAGGATTTGGAAGCTAAGCAGGCTTGGGCCGGGTTAGCACTTGGATGGGAGATCAGTTTGAAATCTCAGCATTGTAGGCCAGTTTGGGAAGGGAAAAGAGCGTCTCAGAAAAAGGCAGTACAAAAACCATGCTGTTGCCATGATACTTCATGAAAGTATCCATGGCTTCAACAGAGTCAGGTTTAGGGAGAATTGAAAACAAGTTTTTCTTTCTTTCTTTCCTTCTTTCTCTTTCTTTCTCTTCCTTCCTTCCTTCTTTCTTTTTTCTTTTTATTTCTTTTTCTCTTTCCCTTCCTTCTTTCTTCTTTTTTTTCTTTCTGTTTCCTTTCTTTCTTTTTTCTTTTCTTTTTCCCTTTCTCTTACCCTTCCTTCCTTCCTCTTTCTTTCTTTTTTCTTTTTTTTCTTTCCCTTCCTTCCTTCTTTTTTTCTTTCCTTTCTTTCTCTTTTTTCTTTTTCTTTTCTTTCTTTCTCTTACCCTTCCTTCCTTCCTCTTTCTTTCTTTTTTCTTTTTTTTCTTTCCCTTCCTTCCTTCTTTTTTTTCTTTCCTTTCTTTCTCTTTTTTCTTTTTCTTTTCTTTCTTTCTCTTTCTCTTTCCCTTCCTTTCTCTTTCTTTCTTTTTCTTTTTTTCTCTTTCCCTTCCTTCCTTCCTTCCTTCCTTCTTTTTTCTTTCTTTTCTTTCTTTCTTTTTTCTTTTTCTTTTCTTTCTCTTTCTTTCCCTTCCTTCCTTCCTTCCTCTTTTTCTCTTCTTCTCTTTCCCTTCCTTCCTTTTTCTTTTTCTCTTTCCTTTCTTTCTTTTTTCTTTTTCTTTCTTTCTTTCTCTTTCTCTACCCTTCCTTCCTTCCTTTCTTCTTTCTTTCTCTTCCTTTCTTCTTTTCTTCTTTCTTTCTTTTTCTTTCTTTCCTTTTTTTTTTCATTTTATACAGCAACATTTAAATGCCACTGTTCCTTCCAACCCCAATTTGAAGATAGACTCCTAAAGAAGGAGAATAATGGGAATGTTTCAAAATTATCCATTGATACTTAGCAACGGGAGACCAAACCCCAAGAAGGGGATTGAATTATCTGATCATTGTGGGGTCCTCGGTGCTCTCTGAACTTGGTTGTTTCCTTGCAGACATTTCATTACCCAACTAGGTAACCTCATCAGTGCTAGAAATGAGTGGGGTGTGTGGAGAGGAGGAGGATTGTGGGCTTCTTGGTGCTCTCTGAACTTGGCTGTTTTCTTGTAGACGTTTGCAAACCCCTCTCCCTTCTAGCACTGATGAGATTACTTAGTTGGGGCCAAGAAACATTTGCAAGAAAACAACTAATCACAGAGAGCACCAAGGACCCCACAATCTTCCTCCTCCTCCTCCTCCTCCTCCTCCTCCTCCTCCTCACTACCACATGTCCCATTTCCTTCTAGTACTGATGATGTTACCTAGTTGGGTAATGAAACAGCTGCAAAAAAAACCCCAACCAAGCTCAGAGACAACTACGGATCACACATCCTCCTCCTCTCCACAAAACCCACCCCCTGCTAGCACTGATGATGTTACCTACTCAGGTCCTGCAACATCTACAAGAAAACCACCCAGCTCAGAGAGCCCCAAGGACCCCACCATCCATTCATCCCTGAGCAACAAATAAGTCTCTTCTATTGCTATCCGATCATTCTTCTCGCCAGGCTGACAAGGACTGCATATTTTGAACTGAAATTATATTCATCTAATTGCAAACGTTGGGGGATTTAGGATGTAGGTTCAACACAGTCCACTCGGCTCGAACAGGAGAAAAGTCTTCCAGTAAGGAGGCCCATGCAAGAAGCTATAATGGCCGAGAACAGCCCCCCTCTCCCCCGCCGGCCAACCCTTTTGTGAACTTCCTCTTCCATTGATCAAAACCTTTGGCCAACCTTCGCTTGTTTCAACCCAAAGCTGAGAGCCGGGGCTAAAACAGCTGGTAACAAAAGGAGTGGATGGGTGAAGAGAAGCAGTAGAGGAAGAAAAAGCTGGGGGGAAAGACTTGTATTGTCTCAATCTCCTTTTTTTTCTCCCCCTCCATGGTTGGCATGTCCTTGCAAATGTGCTTGGCGTTTGCCTAAATAATTATGAAAACAATGCCCAGCCTGGTGGACGCTGATGGATGGTTGATATACAAGATAAAGAGCCGAAGAGCTGTAGAATTGTAATTACACGGACATTTCCACACAGGGCCGCACGGCCTATTATTTGTCAAAGAAAGAGACTTTGCTCCTTGCTTCCTCGGACAGATAAGAAGGCCCCCCCGCGGTCATCGGTAAACAAGAGGACACTTCCTCGGACCTCCTAGAATGGCAGACCGTCACCCAATTGACCCAGTGCCCAAAAATTCCTCTGTCAAGACAATAGACTGGAGGCAATGTATACTCAGAAAAATAGTCACTTTTTCTACAGGGACTGAATAGCCCATGAAGAGATGGCTATCGCCCAAGAGCAGGACACAGGCTGAGCAGACAATGGCCGGACTTCAGTCTCGGAGTCATCCGTCACAGGGGAACAAAAGCCCTTGTCAATCCCAGTGGCCAGCTCCTCCAGGCATGTCATCCTGGAGTGTGAGTTGGCTGACAACTCAACAGTTAGCCTCCCCACGTTTCCACTAAAGGAAGGCAGAATGGCCTGGTGCGATTGAGGTGCCCGTGTTGTTTTCCTGTGGAACGCAATCGATGCATTTCTCTTATAGCTTTCCACGGATATTTCAGCAAGGCACACCAACAACTGGGTGGGTAGACTTTGGGTCGCCAGTGAGGTGTGTGTGGGGACAACCATGTCCCTTCCCTGTTGTCACTGGGAGACTGGAGGTTAAAACTTGTGGAGAACGGTTGCAGACTTGGGTATGTCTAGACTAATGAAAAGGACTCGGGGTGATATGATAGCAGGGTTTCAATTTTTGAGGGGCTGCCCCAAAGAAGAGGCGGGGGTCACCCTATTCTCCAAAGCACCTGAAGGCAGGACAAGAAGCAAGGGATGGCAATTAATCAAGGAGAGAAGCAACCTAGAACTAAGGAGGAACTTCCTGATCATGAGAAGAATTAATCAGAAAAACGACTTGCCTCCAGAAGTTGTAAATGCTCCATCACTGGAGGCATTTAAGAAAAGATTGGACAACCTATTTGTCTGAAATAGTAGAGGCTCTCCTGCTTGACCAGGGGGTTGGACTAGAAGACCTCCAAGGTCCCTTCCAACTCTTATTATTCTATTTTCTAGGTACTAGACAAGAAATTCTGCAACGCAAGCTTTGGCTGCTTGGGCCCATTTCGCTCTTTGGGAGGGACTGGTCTCCTGTAAATTTAGTTCCTTCACCGTCCTCTCCAATTTCCCATTTTCTTTCCAGCCTTCCTCTAGACTCTTTAAGACTTTCGTGGGTCACAGTTGGTGACTCTGTGCTTATTTTTCTGCTGTCGGGGAAAAATGCCCCAGAACAGGGACTGAATCCTTCTCCCATTAATCAAAGCTAACAAGCTTTCTGTAGGGAGACACAAAAATCGCTATGTTTTCTCCCTTAGTGCTGAAGCAAGGTCAGCAGGAGGCCGGTGTGGGAGGGAGGGTAGGGGCCTGGTCCAGCCCCCCCCCCACCCTCACCTCTAGTTAGATTAACATTTTATTCAGAAGCCTATTTATCAAAGTCAAGAGCATAGCATAAAGTGGCACCAGAAAAGGGGGGGGGGGAAGTCTGAGCAGACAAGACTTATCATTTTTTTTTTTTTCTCTCCACCCATTTCTCTGGCTTAAATTTTGTCCCACCACCCCACAACCACAACCTGGCGAGTTGTATCTGACCAATCCTGGCTCCCATGAAAAAAATTCTCGATATTTCATAGGGAGCAAAACAGCTGAGATCAAAAGTCAGATTAAGCTTCCCAAGGTGCTACGATTTAAGTTTAACAGAGCAAAGAGTTGAAAGGGACCTCGGAGGTCATCTAGTCCAACCCCCTACTCAGGCAGGAAACCCTATACCATTTTGGACAAATGGCTGTCCAGTTTCTTCTTAAAAGCTTCCAGTGTTGGAGCATTCACCGCTTCTGAAGGCAGGTTGTTCCACTGGTTAATTATTCTCGCTGTCAGGCAATTTCTCCTTAGTTCCAGGTTGCTTCTCTCCTTGGTTAGTTTCCATCCATTCTTGTCCTGCCTTCTGGGGCTTTGGAGAATAGGTTGAACCCCTCTTCTTTGTGGCAGCCCCTCAAATATTGAAAGGCTGCTATCATGTCTCCCCTATTTCTTCTTTTCATTAGTCTAGACATATCCAATTCCAGCAACCGTTCTTCATATGTTTTAGTTGAAGTCTACAAGTCATAAAAGTTTGAAGACCCCTGTATTACAGGATATATATTATAGCAGGATATTATATATATATATATATATATATATATATATATATATATTTGTAGATTTTCACAGGTACAGGTATGCAGGTGTTGGAGTATTTGGGTCTCTCAATCTTACACAGGAAAAGACCCAAATACGCCAAGACCTGCATATATATATATATACATACATACATATACATACAGGATATATATTATTTTCTTTAAAAAATATATAATACAGTGCCGGTGATAGTTGTTCTATTGTATTCACGAATGGAGAAGTTCTATAATTTTTCTTGTCTGTCTGCAGAGGGTTAGTTGCGTACATTATTTGTATTAATAAAATACCAGAATTATCTTGAGAAAGTTGGGAAATAAGCCCCAAGAAAACTCCACTCTTTGTGCAGATGAGATTTTGTACAGAATCGATGTAGGTGCATTCTTTTAACAGAGCCATCATCTCAGAAATAAATCTCTTTTCTTTTTTGGCTGTGATGGAGAAAAAGAAGTTAACAATTGAAGACACCAATTTGCTAACCTAACCGTGAAAGAGTAGAAAACAAAGTTCAGTGGGGTTTGTGCGCCCTCTGGTGGGGACAGAGAAAATAATTTTCTGGAAGTGAGATTAAAAATATATATATATATTATTTTTTAAATCAAATTGGCATACATTGAAAAAGAGGGAGAGAGAAAGAGAGACATTGGGCAACACAAACTTCCTTGTGTGGTTTGAAAGAAAAAAAGCTTGAGGGACGATAGGTTTTTGAAGAGAAGCCCAAATCATCTCTCTCTCTGCTGTGTAATCTCTTTAACCTGCCTAATAACAGAGTGAAAAGGGACCTTGGAGGTCCTCTAGTCCAACCTCCTGCTCAAGTACCATTTCAGACAAATGATGGTCCCGTGTCTTCTTAAAAACTGCCCATGAGGTGTTTTTTTTTTTTTTAAAGAGGTTTAATAACTGAATTTTAGCAACTGGAGATTAAAAATTGAGGTTTAATAACTGAAGGTAATCCAGATTGGTGGGGAAGAAGGACCACATTAGTACGTTGAAATAATAATAATAATAATAATAATAAAAGCAACAAGTATCGCCTGGCATTTAACAAAGTGAAAGAACACGGAAGGATTATACACAACTGGGACCAGAATGGCTTTTATAATAATAATAATAAAGTTGGAAGGGACCTTGGAGGTCATCTAGTCCAACCCCCTGCTCAGGCAGGAAATCCTGTACCATTTCAGACAAAGGGCTTTCCCTTCTTAAAAACTTACAGTGTTGGAGCATTCACAACTTTCGTTAGGCAAGACAGTTTACCACCTTTTTCTTTGCCACGGCCATTAACCGAATCACTAGTCATTAAGTGAATTGTGCGGTCAGTAAGAGAAAGGCTATTCTTATCCAGTAATCAATCCATCAATCCTGTCCCAAAGGTGCTTTTTTTTTTTTTCAAAAGCCAACTGGCCTTTCTGAGTTTGCTTCTTGGAAGACATTTTGCTTCTTGCAACGAAATAAGCTTCTTGGATGAGAAGTGAAACGTCTTCACAAAGAAAAAACAAAACAAGAAAGTCCAGTTCCCCCTTTAAAAAAAAAAAAAAAGCAGCTTTGGGACAACCATGACCCGGAAGACTGAGAATCTCCACGGACCTCAGTCAATACTGCTTTTACGAGCGTTTTCCCACGGATCCGTATTCTCATAAAACTCCACCATTGTCCTTCTGGCTTCCTTGGCTATCCGCTGGAACCGGCAGATGTAGAAAACCACAAGGAGGAGCAAGATGGCCTGCACCAAGAGGAAGACGAAGAGGCAGATCTGGGCCACCAGAGCCACGCCGCAGTACCAGGACTGGCAGGTAGAGAGGATCTCGTCTTCGGACAGGTAGGTGATGATCCGACCTTGAAGGTGGGCGGGGCTCGAACACACCACGTCGCGATACAAAGTGCGGTTGTCTTGCCACTGCAGCCAGGAGCGGAGGTAGAGAATGTGGCAGGTACATTCCCAAGGGTTCCCCCGCAGGTAGACCGCCTGGAGGTGGTGCAGGTTGTCAAAGAGGCCTTTGGGGATGAAGGTCAGGTAGTTGTTGTTGAGATAGAGCTTGGTGGTGGAGGCTGAAAAGGAGAGGGGGATCATGTCGTCGCTGAGTTCGGTTGACATGCAGTCAATGATGTTGGCGGCACAACGGCAAGGGCGGGGACAATCCAGGGTGACAAGAGGCAGCAGGCCGAGGGTGAAGAAGAAGCTGACGAGACTCATCTTCTGCTCTGAAAGAGATAGAAATCGTTAACTAGAGCCCCAGTAGAATAGAATAGAATAGAATAGAATAGAATAGAATAGAATAGAATAGAATAGAACAGAACAGAATAGAATAGAAATCATGGAGTGGAGTAGAGTAGAGTAGAGTAGAGTAGAATACGAAACTGGAAGGGACCTTGGAGGTCTTCTAGTCCAGCCCTCTGCACAAGCAGGAGAATCTATACCATTTCAGAGAGTAAAGTAAAATAGAGAATAGAATAGAATAGAATAGAATAGAATAGAATAGAATAGAATAGAATAGAATAGAATAAAATAGAATAGAATAGAATAGAAATCATGGAGTGGAGTGGAGTGGAGTGGAGTGGAATGGAGTAGAATAGAATAGAGTAGAGTAGAGTAGAGTAGAGTAGAGTAGAGTAGAGTAGAGTAGAATAAAATAGAATAGAATACGAAACTGGAAGGGACCTTGGAGGTCTTCTAGTCCAGCCCTCTGCGCAAGCAGGAGAACCTATACTGTCTCAGACAGGTGATTGTCTAGTCTCTTCTTAAAAATCTCCAGTGATGGAGCGCCCACGATTTCTGGAGGCAAACTGTTCCACTGGTTAATTGTTCTCACTGTTAGGAAGTTTCTCCTCAGTTCTAGGTTGCTTCTCTCCTTGAATAGATCTGAGATCAGTTAAATCAGAATAGAGCTGGAAGGGACGTGGGAGGTCTTCTAGTCCAGCCCCCTGCTCAAGCAGGAGAGCCTATACCATCTCAGACAAGTGACTGTCTAGCACCTCTTCTTAAAAACCACCAGTGATGGAGCGCCCATGATTTCTGGTGGCAAGCTGTTCCACTGGTTAATTGCCCTCACTGTCGGGAAGTTTCTCCTTAATTCTAGGTTGCTTCTCTCTTTGATCAGGTTCCACCCATATAACTGAAAGAAAAGTTGAGGACTTACCTCTTTGGCTGGAGCGTCTCTCTGCAATGAGACATGAAGGACAACTGACTGGTAGACCAAACATCAGCAGAAATAGGGTTGATAACCTCCATGTGTGTTCCAGAAAGATAACAAGAACACTTCTTCTCCTTAGTCATTCTCTGGCAATCCCTGGAAATTGTCTTCTGTCGGGGACTTTATTTTTAAACTGGCATCTCTGAGTACCACATCTAGAAAAGGCTCGAATGCAAGCAAGGTTGTAACAAAGCCAAATGAGAGTCCAGGAATTGTGTAACATCTTGGTTATTCACTTCACGGCTGAATTAATTTAACTATTTTTCCCAAGTGCAGGCAGGACATTGGCCCATAAAACAACCCCGTGAGCTGTCTCGGTCGAGGCATTCCCCAAAAGATGCTAACTGGGCTTAAACTAACCAGGTTTAATGGGTTCTGGAAATGGGGTGATGGTTCTATCATTGTCATGAGCTCACTAATGCAATTCTGCAAATATTGAGGAGAAAATCCCACTGTATCTCAGGTGGAAATTTAACAATCCTGGAGTTTACTTCTATGCCCATGGACCCCTACGATTTCCATAACGTCTTTGCTTGCAGACTGTCTCCAACACAGATTATCACACCCAGCGATGATGATGATGATAATAATAATAATAAAGTTGGAAGGGACCTTGGAGGTCATCTAGTCCAACCCCCTGCTCAGGCAGGAAACCCTAGACCATTTCAGACAAATGGCTGTCCAGTCTCTTCTTAGAAACGTCCAGTGTTGGAGCATTCACAACTTCTGGAGGCAGGTTGTTCTACTGATAAGGAAATTTCTCCTTAATTCCAGGTTGCTTCTCTCCTTGATGAGTTTCCATCTGTTGCTTCTTGTCCTGCCTTCTGGTGCTTTGGAGAAGAGGCTGATCCCCCTCTTTTTTGGGGCAGCCCCTCAAATATTGGAACTCTGCTATCCTGTCCCCCCTCGTCCTTCTCTTCATTAAACTAGACAGACCCAATTCCAGCAACCGTTCCTTTTATGTTTCAGCCTCCAGTCCCCTGATCATCTTTGTTGCTCTTCTCTGCACTCTTTCTAGAGTCTCAACATCTTTTTTACATCGTGGTGACCAAAACTGGATGCAGTATTCCAAGTGTGGCCTTACCACGGCATTGTAAAGTGGTATTAACACTTCACGTGATTCTATCCTTCTGTTAATGCAGCCTAGCACTAGCTATATCCAGCTATTGTAGTTTGCAAGCCATGTTTTACGGTGTGTGATTGCAACCCAATTTGGTGACTGGTCCAACTATCTTTAAATGGGGTTCAGTATGATGGACAAACCCTAGTAATGAATCAAGGCAGCGCAAAAGGTTTAAAATGATACTTCAAATGGTAACCAGATGTTAATGAGTTTATCTTGCAGTTAATCAAAGCCCCCCAAGATGGATGGATAGAAAGTACCAGAGCAACAGGCAAACTGGGCAGAAGGGTGAAAAGGTTTTGAGCAATCATCAACCAACCTGATAAGAGCATTTAGGTTAGTAATTGTGTTAAAATGAGTTACAACAAACCAGCAGTGTGGTGTAGCGGTGAAAGTCTTGGATGAGGAGTAAGGTTCAAGTCTACCATTAGGTCCTCAGCCTGCAACTTTTCAAACGAATGACAATTCTATCCCCTAAAAGAATGCGGCACCAACAGGAATAGACCAAGGATCCCCACTCCTCTTTTCTCCTTCTGCTTTGCTGGCTTTTTCTCCCAACTGCCTTTTGAAGGCAACATTATTTTTTAAAATAAATTACACTAACCCATAAGAGATCCTCAAAAGCCGGGTTTTTGGATGCGGATCAACAACAGAAACACGTTTCTGCTTTTTTTTCGTTTACTTCTTTTTGATCAGTCCGGGGAGTAGCAAACATTATATTAATATCCAATGGTCATCATCATTTTAATAAAACGGATATATTTAAAAGGTCTTCGGATCACGATGACGAAATAGCCCACCAAATATTTACAAAAACGGAACGATGCACCAAGGAAAGCCGAACGCAAGGCCGGGGCCGGAGCGACAAAAGGCAGAATCAGTATTTGGAAAAAGGGGTGGATGGGTGAGTGGGGGGGGGGGGAAAGCAGCCCGAAAAAAGGAAGAAAAAAAAATCCACGGCACGGAGGATATTTCCCCACAAAATTACTTTCTTTCTAGGAAAATAAATAAATAAAGGCATGCAAAGTGGGGCCAGAAAAAAAAACAAAACAGCACGGATGTTGGAGCACGGAGGGCTGATCACAGATCCTGGGTGCAAGTCAGCGCATAAGGACAGGCTTCATACACTGCCCTTGAAAGTGCGATGTAGCTAGGGACACACACACACACACACACACACACACACCCCGAAAGACACACATAGAGACACACACACACACGCATACTAATGCTGTTTTTGAACAATTTGGGTTTCAACCAGTGTTTCTTCAACCTTGGTGACTTGGGAGAGGGGTAGACTTCAACTCCCAGAATCTTTCTAATCAAATTAATTTGGGAATGAAATCAAATTTGAGTTGTTGTTGTTTTTTCAGTCCCCAAAAAAAGAATTTGCATTGGAGCGGATTTTAACCCGAGACACAGCTGCCCATTGAGGAGATGGAAAGAACCACGTTGCTTTCGTTCACCACGAAGAAAAATGTGAATTTTGAAGCAACTCAGAAACACCCCCCCCACACACAAAAAAAACCAGTTGCAAATATTAACTTCTAAAAGGGACAGGAGAGGAAAGCAACGAACATGTAATGGGAAAGTCATGTTATTGATGGCATTTTGTGCTGGCCGACAAGAGAATGAAATCAAATTTGTTTTTTTTTTGTTTGTATGTTTGTTTTGTTTGTTTTTTCAGTCTCCAAATAAGATCCTCCACTGGGGATGGAGAAACAACACATTGTGAAATGCTGAATGTAACACGGTTTGGTGAAGATGTGGGTGTGAGCGTGTCTTAATGTCTTATTTTAGAGTAGTTTGTTGGTGTGGGAAAAATAATAATCTTTTGTCAACAGGGCACAAAACTATTATTAAAAAAAAAAAAAAGCATCCAGCTGGTTATATGCATTTCTGGAAGGGAGTGGGGATCCTTATCTCACTTCAACAGACCAATGTGCTATCCTCTTGCTTCAAACACACACACACACACACACACACCAGAGAAACACAGAAAGCCAAGAAAAGGCTTTGCAGCACCAGGTTGGCAAGAAAAAAAAAAAGGAGGAGAATATGAGGAAGAAGGGAAAGTACTTAGCATTTTGGATTTTAAAGCAAAATGGGATATACAGAGATGTAGGGACATTAACTCAGCCTGTTTGCAACCTTTCAAAGCAGCTGCTTCACTTTCCAGATTTCACAGCCGTAGAAAGAATGAACTTGAGCTAGTTTCCCTTATTGGATTTTTGCTGACAAGGAGCATCAGATGAAGCTTACGGATTTTGTTGGTTTTTTTTTTTTCCTTCAGAGATGAACTATGGAAAGGGGGATGAGAGAGATGATTAGGTTATATTCAGAAATGCTGACAAGCTAAGAATTATTATTATTTTTTACTTGCTAGGGTAATGGGGCAGTTGTTCTTTTTCTGTTTTTTCCTCTCTTTTTTGTACATTTCTTGTTTTTTTTCTTAAAAGATGAATTGGGGAGGGAGGAGAGAGATCAGATTGTATTTGAGATTCTGACAAGCTATGCATTAATTTATTTTTTTGTACAGGCTAGGGTGATGGAGAAGTTACTCCTTCCGTTTTCCGTTTTTTCCCCCCTTTCTTTGGCTGACTTGCTTTCTTTTCGTGTTTTTCTCTTTGTATTCCTCATCTTATTTAATTTATACGTCTTTATAAAATTATTTTTTTTTGGGGGGGGGGAACTACAAAACCCACGATGCACCAACAAACCGAGCTTCTCATACAGGGAGTATTTTTGCATCGAAACAAAAAAAAATGAGCTTCAAAGGAGTCTAAAACAAACTCTTGGTTCAAGTTTTGTTTCTGCCCAGTGGGAATTGGGACACTCTGCAAAGATATATCTTGGGGAAAAGAATCTACCGAGCAAACTTAAGAATCAATATAGAACTTTATCGGTGGATCCTGTTTTTGTTTTTTTTTATGTATGTCTGGCAAAAAGGGAAATATAGAGTTGTGTGCAAAGACAAGGCAGACTCTCAAAGTCCAGATGCAAAGCTTGGGTCAGTTGGAAAAAAATCCGCCAACTAGGGAGAGAAGAGGCCGTTTAAACAAAAGACTCACACAACTTTGCATTCTGACCCACAAAAGTCACCTTCTTCCACCCTGCCCAGAAAGGCCTTGCATTTTTTCAGAGTGTGGAACAGGATGGAGAATCAACCAGGAATGAAGATCTCCATCCAAAGCCTCCCCCCCCCCCCAAAAAAAACCCACAGCCACCTTTCTGCTCCTTATCTCAAAAAAGGCAGTCAAAGAACCAACCTTTTCCAAGCAAAATCAAATCTGCCTGGGAAGTCTCACAAGCATTTTGTTCAGATATTCATAAGAATGTCATTTCCCCCCCTCCCCAGCACAAAAAGGCAGGTGTTAAGAAAGGGAGGGGGGGGGTGAAAGAAGAAAAGGCAAGGAAGGAGGAGAGGAGGGAAGTCACAGCACCGTGGTTAGTAGTAAACATTTAACGTGCACGTTCACAAAGTCCTCACATCTCAATACCACCCCAGAATTTTTCATTTAAATACTAGAATGCTCTCGGGAGAAGCGTCTTGAGGACATATTCCAAGGCCGTTCAAACAGCTTCGGAGGGAGAAGGTGGGATGGCGTCTCTCGCACGCAAGTCTCTTCGCTCGTGTTTTGATCGTAGGAAAAAGGTTTTCCTGAAGCAGCTTCCCATTCAGATGGACCCAAGGGTGGTGCCAAACACACACCCCCCCCCGTCGCTCCCTTCATCCTGGTTTCGTCTTAATGCTCTTGAATTTGCTGTTGCATTTTCTGCAGCATCTCCTGCATTCTTCGCAGCTGCGGAGAGATAAGGAAGGGGACGGGGGAAAGGGGGGGGGGTTGTCACCGTTTTTTTTGTTTAAAAATAAATAAATAAAGGAAGACCCAAACTTTGTTGAGTCATCTTCCGTTCATCTTCAAGCCCTGTGAAGGGCTCTCCTTAAAGGTGAGGGCAAAAATTTCCTTCGGGGAATTTGATTCCCAGACTGCTGGATCGATGCTCGGTTTTCGGAACCGAATCGTGAAATTGAATAGCATCCTCCAATCAGATCCTTTTTTAAGATTAAATTAGTCAGTTCCGTTCAGAATGGAGAAAGAGCTTTTTCCGAATCAATTGTTAAGTCCAAACCAAATGGAGAAAAATCAGTGGTTGGTGTTCTCTGACTACGGTGGTTTGCTTGCAGACGTTTCGTTACCTGACTAGGTAACCTTATCAGTGCTAGGGAGTGTGGAATTGCTCCCTGTTTTATACGGTTACATACAGTTGCTTGCCCCACCACTGATGATGTAGGGGTGTTGTGTTCTCCTTGGTGATTCCTTGATTAAGGCATTGTTTTCTGTTTGATTGTTTGTCAGGTGTTAATCCCTGCTTATCTGGGTGTTGGTTGCCAGAGAAAATGTGTTCTGGTCTTTGGGATTTCTTAGCTTTATTATCTCTTTGGAATAAGAGTAGTAGTAGTTGGAAAGGACCTTGGAGGTCATCTAGTCCAACCCCCTGCTCAGGCAGGAAACCCTATACCATTTCAGACAAATGGCTGTCCAGTCTCTTCATAAAAACCTCCAATGATGAAGAACCCATAACATTTGGAGGCAAGAAGTTCTATTGGTTAATTGTTCTAACTGTCAGGAAGTTTCTCCTTAGTTCCAGGTTGCTTCTCTCCTTGATGAGTTTCCATCCATTGCTTCTTGTTCTGCCCTCAGGTGCTTTGGAGAATAGCTTGACTCCCTCTTCTTTGGGGCAACCCCTGAGATATTGGAAGACTGCTATCATGTCCCCCTTCATCCTTCTCTTCATTAGACTAGACATACCCAATTCCAGCAACCGTTCTTTATATGTTTTGGCCTCCAGTCCCCTGATCATCTTTGTTGCTTTTGTCTGAACTCTTTCTAGAGTCTCAACATCTTTTTTACATCGTGGTGACCAAAACGGGATGCTGTATTCCAAGGGTGGCCTTACCAAGGCCTTTTAAAGTGGTAAAGTATTTACCTGTGGTTAACTTCTACGTCTTTGTTGATGCTAATCCATATTGTTGATGGCTGATAGTCACTTAGTTGGGAAACATCTGCAAGCAAACCACCAAGCTCAAAGAAGCACCAAGGAGTCTACAGTTCAACCCTGAGCTAAATTCTTCTCTGTTATTGAGGCAATAGTCATGACTCCATTACGGTCATAACTCAAGGACTACCTGTATTTAAAACAGCATCTCCAGCAGCTCACCTCTTCGTCCTTCATCTTGATCAGCTTCTCTGTCTCGGCATCTGGGGTTGGAAGTGGCAAGATGGGAATTGGACTTTCTATTCGGTTGTCCTGAGTCAGTTTGCTGAAAAGGAGGATTTAAATTTAACTTCTTTAAATCAGCCTCAGTTCTTCCCTGCTGTCACTGAAGCAACGACGTCAAAAAGGAAACCATTTTGAAGCCTCAGCTATGACTACGAAGGAGGTTGAAGGCCTCCAAGGTCCCTTCCAGTCCCATTTTTCTATGTTCTAAGTCAGGGGTCTTCAAACTTGGCCCTTTGATGACTGGTGGACTTCAACTCCCAGAATTCCTCAGCCAGGCACGCTGGCTGAGGAATTCTGGGAGTTGAAGTCCACCAGTCATCAAAGGGCCAAGTTTGAAGACCTCTGTTCTAAGTCTTGGTGCACCTTCCAACCTTCATGAGTTGATGCCAAGGGTGGACTCAGACATACCTGTCCATATCTGACCCATCAGGAAACTCACCTGGTCATCTGTTGGATGCACTGTGCCCGATAGTTCTCATAATGAACATCACAAGTTACATCTTTCAGGTCATGCATATGGGTTCGGATCAGCATGTTGCGTAGCTTCACAAAGTCACAGTGTGCTTGGTTCTCCACTAGGGAAGCAGAAAGACATCTTTCTGGAGTTGGGAGGGGGGCGTGAACAACTCAACCCATCAATAAATTAAAAAGAGTCCACTAATCAGTCTGTAGCAGAAAGACACCAGAGTCAACAAACAAAGGGCAGAAAGATCTTCTCATCTGCCGTATTTCTCATCTGCCGGTTTTCTTTCCAGGATGCTCGTAATATAAGCCCCCGCCCAAAAATAAGCCCCAGTTAAGATGGTCAGCCAGACGGACGCATTTAGTACCATATATCCCCCAAAATAAGACTTAATCAGAAAATAAGCTCTAATAAATTAATATAAGACCCGCTCTTATTTTGGGGAAAACACAGCATTACCTCCATGATGGATCTCCATCCACTAATGGTCCACAGCTCTAAAAGGACAATTGGCAACATCTACTAGCTTGATTGGAATATGTCGAGATCAACCAGCATCAGTTCTAACCCTCAATTGACCATCGCAGAAGCTCATAACTAAATCTGTCAGACTGCTTTGGCCTTCAGAGCTTCGTTGCTCCCAAACCTGGAAGTTTCACTTAGATCTCCAAAAAAATTAGTTCAACAGATCCTTGTGTTCCGAGGGTCAGTGTTCAAGTCAACAAGACAGCTTACCTTCCACAATGCCCCAGGGGTAGAGTCTTCCTCGGACCCTCTGCCCCTTGGCTTCGACCACTGTGTTGCTGCCAATGACTGCAAAGGGTGCGCTCTCCTGGTGCAAACACAAAATGTGATGAGAAGTTAGGAGAACCACAATGAAGAGAGATTGCCTCCCCTGGACACCTATTCTATTCTATTCTATTCTATTCTATTCTATTCTATTCTATTCTATTCTATTCTATTCTATTCTATTTCTATTTCTATTTCTAATTCTATTCTATTCTATTTCTTATTCTATTTCTTATTCTATTCTATTGCCTATTCTATTCTATTCTATTCTATTCTATTCTATTCTATTCTATTCTATTCTATTTCTATTTCTATTTCTATTTCTAATTCTATTCTATTCTATTTCTTATTCTATTTCTTATTCTATTCTATTGCCTATTCTATTCTATTCTATTCTATTCTATTCTATTCTATTCTATTCTATTCTATTCTATTCTATTCTATTCTATTCTATTCTATTCTATTCTTTCCAGTAGGTTGTATTAAGGACTACCTTAATATAATCTATACTTGAGTCTCAAAATGACTTAGTTTTGCTCACCTTCAGTTCTCTATCTTGTTGCTTGAAGTCTTCATCTTCGTCAGAGTCGCATTCGGGAAACTGGTAAACTTTAATTCCAAACTTATCAATCTCTTCCCGGATCTGACAAAAACATCACCATTCAAATCATATTATACTCTCCTTTATGGCAATGTATTCTTTGCTTAAGAGACATGGTGGCGCAGTGGTTAGAATGCAGTACTGCAGGCTGACTCAGCCCACGGCCAGCAGTTCGATCCTGACCAGCTCAAGGTTGACTTAACCACGAAAGCCAACTGGGTGACTTTGGGCCAATCACTAGTAGACGCTGAGTTCTAGTCCCGCCTTAGCCACGAAAGCCAACTGGATGACTTTCAGCCAGTTCCTCTGTCTCAGCCCAGCCCACCTCACAGGAGTATCAGTACGTTTGCCACCGTCAGCTCTTTATACAAATCATAAAGTTAGGAATAAAATAAAATATCCTTTGGAAAGAAGCTATTTTCTGCCCACCCGTTCTTTTAGCTTCTTGATCTCGGAGGGAACAAGACAATCGGCTTTCGCAATGAGGGGGACGATGTTCACTTTTTCATGGAGCGCCTTCATGAATTCCACATCCACCGGCCTTAGTCTGCGACACAAAAGGGGGCAAGAAGACAGAATCTCAGCTCGTGAGGTTGGCTTCTTAGAAACGAAGCTAGATGTGGTACTAGATACATTCCCTCCCAGCTGAATTCCAGAACCGGACAGGACAGCAACTTGGATGTGACAATGAGAAAGCTAATGTCAAGTTCAAGAAGTCAGGAACCAGGACACAGTTCAAAACTGTACTACAAATCCCATTCCTTTCTAGCACTGATGATGTTACCTAGTTGGGTCATGAAACATCTGCAAGAAAACAAGCAAACTCAGAGATCACCCAGGACGCCACAGTCCTCCTCCTCCTCCTCCTCTTCACCCCACTCCTTTCTAGCAGTGATGATGTTACCTAGTTGGGTAATGAAATGTCTGCAAGAAAACAAGCAAACTCAGAGAGCACCAGGACCCCACAATCCTTCTCCTTCTCTTCCTCTTCCTCCACTCTGCAAACCCCACTCCCTTCTAGCACTGATGATGTTACCTAGCTGGGTCATGAAACATCTGCAAGAAAACCACCAAGCTCAGAGAGCACCAAGGACCCCTCATTTCAACTCTGAGCTACAAATATCCTCCTTTATTGCCATGCTACCTACACAAGGCAAACTGGTGCCCGGTTAAGAGTCAACGGGCATCAAGGGAGGTGGACTTAGGTGTGGTGTAGAGGCTCCAGGTGCATTTGACCTCCCCCTCAAACTCAGCTTGGTCGTCTCCTACAGCAGGGGTCCCCAATGCTGGCTGAGGCATTCTGGGAGTTGAAGTCCACAAGTCTTAAAGTTGCCAACGTTGGGGACCCCTGTCCTACAGCATAACGATTGTAGAAGCTGCATCCAACACTTGCCATCATGGTTCCATCGTGGCCTTACCCGTGTCCAAACGGCGAGATAAAATAGAGGCAACAGTGAACGCGATTGTCTTGGATATTCTTCCGGTTGAGGCCACTCTCATCCCGGAAGTATTGTTCAAACTGCTGGTCGACATAGTCGGTGATCGGCTTCCAACTGTACAGCAAAAACAAGGAAAATGAAAGCAATTAGTTCCTGGCATCAGCGGTGGTGAAAAATAATTATATAAATACAGGTAGTCCTTGATTTATGACCACAACGGAGCTTGCAAGCAACCTGGAACTCAGGAGAAACTTCCTGACAGGTAGAACAATTAACCAGTGGAACAACCTGCCTCCAGAAGCAGTGAATGCTCCAACACTGGAAGTTTTCAAGAAGAGACTGGACAGCCATTTGTCTGAAATGGTATAGGTCAGGGGTAGGCAACCTTGGCTCTTTTATGCTGGCTTCAATTCCCAGAATTCCTGAGCCAGCATGGTTCAGCTTGGAAACCTCTCCCTTTCCCCTCAGCATGGCTGGCTGAGGAATTCTGGGAGTTGAAGTCCACGAGTCATAAAAGAGCCAAGGTGGCCTACCCCTGGTATAGGGTTTCCTGCCTGAGCAGGGGGTTGGACTAGATGACCTCCAAGGTCCCTTCCAGCTTTACTATTATTATTATCAAAGTTTCCACTGCTAAGCGAGAGAGTTAAGTGAGTTTTGCCCCTTTTTATGACCTTTTGCGCCACAGTTGTGAAGTGAATCACTGCACACGGTTGTTAAGTGAATCCGGCTTCCCCATGGACCTTGCTCGTCGGAAGGTCGCCAAAGGGGATCACGTGACACACTACAACCGTCCTAAGTACATGCCAGTTGCCAAGCGTCTGAGTTCTGATCACATGACCACAGCGATGCGGCAATGGTTGCGTGAAAAACGTTCATAAGTCACTTGTTTTTGTAATTTTTGAATGGTCACTAAATCGAACTGTCGTAAGTCGGGGACTATCGGTAGGACATTTTTGACCGCACGGACAGGAGACCTTGGACCAATGTAATGGAAGATCTGGTGGTTGCACTCCTGAAGGGTGTTAGCTTTGGTTAGTTTTAATCTTGGTTAATGTAGATGCATATGGGTCTTTCTCGGTCACGCAGAGAAGTTCAGAAGAAGCTCAGAGAACGGATGAGTTGAAATTAAGTGGGTGTTTAGCAACCTCAGTCAAAAGAGGGACTCACCACTCTGAGTTGTTGACAGCATCTCCAAAGCCTGGTGTGTCAACTATTGTCAGCTTCAGCTTGACCCCTTTCTCTTCGATGTCCACAGTGTGTTTCACAATCTCTACTGTCTGGTTTATTCTTTCTTAATAGATAAGGAGGAAGGGAAAACAACAATGGAAGTTAGCACCATGACATTCTCCAAGTCCCATGGTCTTCTCCAAGTGCTAACCATGACTAACCAATTCATGGTTAGCACCGTGATCGTTCCCAAGTCTCATTCATTACACCCAAGCAGGCTTTCAGCTATTCCACGATATAATTTTGGGCCAGGAAAGATCCCGGCTGGTCTACGAACCAGCTCATTTTGCAAAAATCAGATCTTCGCAGATTACAAAGACATCCACCCACCAGGCTTCGACCAAGAATAAACAATTCACATCCACAAGTTGTAAACCTTATGGGTATTGTGCTATTGGGTTGATCGCAAGGACTAATTAAGAAGGATACCCTCGGCGTTGAGAAGCTTTCGCTCTTTGTACAGATCTGTCAGGAAGAGGCTGTTCACCAGGGTTGATTTGCCCAGACCAGATTCTCCTAAAAGAACAAAAATCAAGCAATTAAAAAAAAATAATCATCTTGGAACGAGTCTTGAATCTTCAGAAATGGCACAGCAGAACTAACACTATCCTCTCTGTGCCCGATTTTCTTATTTAGAACATTCTGTCCTTGGACAGCTACAATATTTCAGTCTAATTTTTAATCTCCGTTCTCAGCCCTTGCAGAAAAATTGTATTATGTGGATAAAGGAGGATTTGGTGCATTCTGGGCCAGAGGTCCCCAACCCCTGCGCCATGGACCAGCACCGGGACGCAGCATGCCAGCAACTGGTCCACACAAACAAGTAAAGCCCCATCTGCACAACGGCCCTTCTACGGTCCACGGAAAACCCTCTGCTCACGGAACCAGTTCCTGATGCTCAAAAGGTTGGGGGGCGCTGTTTAAGCAAGTGTATGCAATCCCCCCCCCCAAGAAAGGTAAAATACAATCAACATCCTCGGAATCAAGGCCAACCACTCAAAATTGCCAGCAGATGTAGGCATTTATCAATCTCTGAATTTCTGTTATAGAGGAAGTGAAAAAAAGAGGAATCAAACAAGTCCCAGATACCAAAATAATAATAATAACTGATTTACCTATGTAGGGGGGGAAACATTAAAAGCAGTATTCAACAGATCCCAATGCATTTCTGTCAACAAATGGCCCATAGATTTAGCAAGGGTTAATTTTGTAAAAATAAAAATTGCATTTGTGCAAGTGCGTGTGTGTGAGTTTAGTCTGGAAGCACGCAAATATTCTCTTGGGATTTAAAGTTTATCCTGATGAAAATTTGTTTATGCTTAAATTAAACTTGGCCTCTGAGGGAGGGAGGGAGGGAGGGAGGGAGGGAAGGAAGGAGGGAAGGAAGGAAGGAAGGAAGGAAGGAAGGAAGGAAGGAAGGAAGGAAGGACATGAGCGAGAGAGGAATGAAAGAGACAGAGAAAAAGGAAGGAAGGAAGGAAGGAAGGAAGGAAGGAAGGAAGGAAGGAAGGAAGGAAGGAAGGATGAAAGGAAGGAAGGAGGGAAGGAGGGAAGGAAGGATGGAAAGAAGGAAGGACAATGAGCGAGGGAGGGATGAAAGAGATAGAGAAAGAGGAAGGAAGGAAGGAAGGAAGGAAGGAAGGAAGGAAGGAAGGAAGGAAGGAAGGAAAGAAAGAAATTAAACAGCATTCATCCTTCTGATTCATCCACCCCTGGATGTCCAGTTGGTCCACCTCTAGCAAGGATGAAGTTTAATATGCCAGTTATTCACAAATGACCAATGGAAGACGTACTAAGCCTGATTGCTTAGTACATCCCAGAACTGTTACACTAGGAAGCTGACAACCCATCTGGCAGAACCACACACACATACTTAAAACAGAAGGTCCCGAATCTGGGTGATGCTCACCTGCCACCATGAGGGTGAAATCAAAGCCCTTCTTCACCGATTTCCGATGGACCTGGTTGGGCAAAGTGGCAAAGCCCACATACTGCTTCTCGTGGTCCTGAGAAGGGGAGATAAACAGCCATGGATCAGACTGGAGAAAGAGGACAGAATGAGAAAAGAAGCAAACTTTGCACAACAATCACATCCACTCTTGGCTAATCCCAAGTGAAGTCGGGAGCTGTTGGGTTAGATGGGGTCTTACAGGACAGAGGCCCCCAACCTTTGGGCCACCAGGGACCAGTTCCGTGGAGAGAGGTTTTTCCACAGACTGGAGAGTGGGTGGTTTTGTGTGCTGCCTGCATCCCATGGATGGGGCTTTGCTTGTTTGTGCGGACCGGTTGCTGGCATGCCGTGGACCGGTACCCTGTTATAGGAGATGCAATCCACTGGCCAAGAAGTTCTCCATTTACGGATAGAGGGGCCAGTCATAATCCTGCCTCTCCATTGGATAACAGCCGCGTGAAGAGACAAAGGCAGGCCCTTCAGATTAAATGTCATAGAGAGAGGAAACGAGAACTGGAGAGAGATTACTGGTCAGTGGCACCAGAGTAGTGTTAATAATAATAATAATAATAATAATAATAATAATAATAATAATAATAATAATAATAATACAACAACACACCAGATATCGCAGTTATAGAGAACCAAAGCATACAGCTGATTGATATCGCTGTACCAGAAGATGCCAGAGTCGAAGAAAAACTGGAAAAAATGATGAAATATCGCGACCTGCCCATCAAAACTGCATGATTATGGCTGAAACGTGTAACTGTGATACCCATTGTCATCGGAGCCCTGGGAACTATGTCCATCAAGAAACTGCAGCTTCCTGCAATAACTCCAGCAATGCTGCAAAAAACTGCATTACTCGGAACATCTTACATTTTAAGGAGGTACCTGGTTGACACCTAGGATGCTGGTAGCAACCCGTGTCAACCCTCAGCGCCAGCCAATTTGAATGTTCAGTTGACTGAGGTTCATGTCTAATAATAAAAGATAATAATAACAACAATAAAGTTGGAAAGGACCTTGGAGGTCATCTAGTCCAACCCCCTGCTCAGGCAGGAAACCTACGCCATTTCAGACAAATGGCTGTCCAATCTCTTCTTAAAGACTTCCAGTGTCGGAGCATTCACCGCTTCTGGAGGCAGGGTGTTCCACTGGTTAATTGTTCTAACTGTCAGGAAGTTTCTCCTTAGTGCTAGGTTGCTTCTCTCCTTGATGAGTTTCCATCCGTTGCTTCTTGTCCTGCCTTCAGATGCTTTAGAATAGCTTGACTCCCTCTTCTTTGGGGCAGCCCCTGAGATATGGGAACCCTGCTATCACGTCCCCCCCCCCGGTCCTTCTCTTCATTAAATTCTGTTCATTTATTCATTTGTACCCGCCTTTATTATTTTTACCAATAACTCAAGGGAGTGAACATATCTAGTACACTTTCTTTCTCCAAAATCCCTTCTAGTTCTGTTTTTCTGTAATTCTGCCACTGCTCTACAGAGGTTTCATAACTTCTCGAAAAGTTAGTGAAGGGTCTGCTAGCCCACTGAAGAAGAACCAAGAACCAATTTGCCAGAACAGTTTTTCATTTTGTTAATTGCCTCTGTCCTGGAACTGCTTCAGTGCAGGCCAGGAATATATAAAAAAGAATTACATTTTTCTTTTCCCTAGCAAAAGTTGATCTGAGTTTCTGCTTGCAAGGTCCTTTTCTGTGTTTGCTCAAAAGGAAGTTGAGTTTTGAGTTGGTGCCCTCGTTCACACAACACACTCAGTCTTAAACCCCGGCTTCCCAAATCTTTGCAGCTGGGTTTACACGACACCAATCGACACTGAAAAAAGCCTCACTTTTTGGTGCAAATCTAGGTCACTGGTGCTCATTCCAAAATGCAATCTTTTTGTGATTAGAAAGACACGGCATGGCCCAATTTGCTTCTTCTCAAAAATAAATAAATAGCAAAATGCAACAAGATTATTTCCAGCAGAGCCAGAAAAATATTAACGGGAAAGCCCGCTCAATGGAAGAGCAGAGTTTGCATACCATTGCAATATAATCAGGTTTTTCGGATACATTTTGCCTTCTGAAGCCAAGGCTGGTACACAGAGGCCTCCCCGGCAAATCAACAGATTTTTTTTTTTTTTTAATGTCAGCATGGACATCGTCCATCTGGGGCCCCCTTAGTATGTCCAATTCCCATCATCAAAGAAGAATAGAATAGAATTACAGGATAGGATAGGAATAGATAGGATAGAACAGAATAAAACAGAACAGAAGTAGAACAGAGTAGAGTAGAGTAGAATAGAACAGTAGAACAGAAGTAGAACAGAGTGGAGTGGAGTGGAGTGGAGTGGAAGAGAAGAGAAGAGAAGAGAAGTAGAACAGAGTAGACTAGAATAGAAGCAGAACAGAACAGAGTAGAACAGAACAGAGTAGAGTAGAATAGAATAACAGAAATAGAATAGAATAGAATAGAATAGAATAGAATAGAATAGAATAGAATAGAATAGAATAGAATAGAATAGAATAGAATAGAATAGAACAAAGTTTTTATTGGCCAAGTGTGATTGAACACACACAAGGAATTTGTCTCCAGTGAATAAGTTCTCAGTGTACATGTAAGCAACAAGTGATAAATCATAATCATAAAATGTAATACACAAGATACAACACTCAGTGATAGTCATAGGAGATACTAAATAAAAGCAATCCACCTAAAGGCTACCCTAGCTAGGAATTATGGGTGCTGAGGTCCCATCCATCCAGAGCGGTGTTTCCCAACCTCAGCAACTTTATGATGTGATGGACTTCAGCTCCCTGATTCCCCCAAACGTCACCATCAGACCATAAGCATATCAGCGTAGGATGTCCGCCAATCTACCTGCACAAACCTGATGCTCACTTCAATCTTCTGTTCAGACAACATTAGGTTGAGGGCTGGGAAGATCTTCCCAAATCGTCATCTCAAAAGGCAATTTTGAAAATCCTTGAGTGTCATTTTTGTTCTTCCCCTTCTCTGCTAACACAGCCAAATCAGAGCAGCCCCCAAAAGGCAGCGATGGACGCAAAACCACAAAAATATCTTGACCCATCAACGTCTCTTGAGATTTGCCCCTCCAGCTCTAACTCTCAGCATTTATTTGTCCAAATAAAGGAGAATATTCATAGTTCAGGGTTGAAATGAGGGTCCTTGGTGCTCTCTGAGCTTGGTGGTTTTCTTGCAGATGTTTCATTACCCAAACTAGGTCGTATCATCAGCTCTAGTCTATGTGTCTATCAGTGCTAGCACTGATGTTACCTAGTTGGCTAATCAAACATCTGCAAGAAAACAACCAAACTCAGAGAGTACTAAGGACCCCACAGTTGTCGTTCTCTCCTCCTGTCCACAAACTTCACTTCTTCTACCTAGTTGGCTAATGAAACATCTGCAAGAAAGCCACCAAGCTCAGAGAGCACCATGGACCCCACAGTTGTCGTTCTCTCCTTCTCCTGTCCACAAATCCCACTCCCTTCTAGCACTGATGACGTTACCTAGTTGGCTAACAAAACATCTGCAAGAAAGCCACCAAGCTCAGAGAGCACCATGGACCCTTCGTTCTTCTCCTGAACATTTTCTTCCCTTGCGCTGCAGAAGCGTCTTCGGTGGGAAGATGATGCTCCTCCTGGCCTCCCCTCCTCTGTAAGCCCCTTCCCCTCCCTCTTCCCACCCCCCCACCCACCCACCCATCCATCCCTTTCCAGATCGGTCCTTGTTCTACAGACATCCTGGTACCTTCAGCTTGGCAGAAGGACTGCGCTGAGCTTGAGTGCGGGGTAAAAGCAGCTTTTCCACCAACTGCTCTTGCAGAATGAGGGAGTCCATCGGAAGCAACTGTGCTTCCGGGGAGCGCCAAGCATCCAACTATAAATGGATAAGCACTGGGGAGAACAGCCCCATTCGGGAATTCTTATCCAGTTTCGACTAACTGTATCTGGCAGGCACCAGTCCGCCCACCCACACGTACACACACACACAGCAGACACTAAGACCAGCGAGCAGGCTAGAATTTCCTGTCCAACTCTTACAGGCTTACTCAGAGGGAGGGAGGGAGGGAGGGGAAGATGGGGCGGGGGTGGGCGTGTGAACACAAAGGAGAACATCCACTGCAGCTAATAGGAGCTTCTGAAGGGGCACTGTCATCCTGATCATGGCAGCACAGCCTAGCACTGATAACAAAGGGTTTGGAGTAGGAATTGGGGTCAAATGTCCAGCAATACTCCTCACATACTTTTAGATAGATAGATAGATAGATAGATAGATAGATAGATAGATAGATAGATAGATAGATAGATAGATAGATAGATATTAGACAGTTTAGATTAGATAGATTAGATTGATGAGAGAGAGAGAGATGGAGAGAGAGAAAGCGAAAGAGAGAGCAGATAGACAGATATGATAGAAGATGGATGGACAGATAGATTATAGATAGATAGGTGGATGGATGGATGGATGGATGGATAGATATAGATATAAATAGAGATAGATATAGAGAGAGATTAGATAGATTAGATTAGATAGATTAGATAGAAAGAGAGAGAGAGAGAGCAGATAGATAGATATGATAGAAGATGGATGGACAGATAGATTATAGATAGAGGTGGATGGATGGATGGATGGATAGATAGATATAAATAGAGATAGATATAGAGAGAGATTAGATAGATTAGATTAGATAGATTAGATAGAAAAGAGAGAGAGCGAGAGCAGATAGATAGAGCAGATAGACAGATATGATAGAAGATGAATGGACAGATAGATTATAGATAGGTGGATGGATGGATGGATATAGATATAAATAGAGATAGATAGATAGATAGATAGATAGATAGATAGATAGATAGATAGATAGATAGATAGATAGATAGGGATAGATAGAGCAGATAGACAGATATGATAGAAATGGATGGACAGATAGATTATAGATAGATAGGTGGATGGATAGATAGATAGATATAAATAGAGATAGAATAGATTGGATAGATAGATTAGATAGTCAATGGGGAAGCAGATTCACTTAACAACCGTG